TAGTAATCTTTTTATCCTTCGTGATCATATTTTTTCCACATTATCCGGTTTCCCTCCTCCCTTTTCTTGGTTCTTTTCCAATCCTTTTCATGTCGCCTTTATCATCGCTTTCACTCCCCTCTCTTCCTTTCACTCTTCTTCTCCCTTCTCACTTCTTCTTCCCACTTTTATTCGCCTCTCGTCTTTCCCTTTCTCTTCTATGTCCTTCCATTCTCTAATCTTACTTCTCACTTTCTCATTCCCTTCTCCAACCCTCTCTTCTCCCTTTCTTTTTTCTCCCTTCCTGTTTCCATCCTCTCTTCTCTCTCTTCTTACTCCTTTCATCCCCCCCCCCTCTCTCTCTCCCTCTCTTTCTTTACCCCTCTCTTCTCCTTCTTTCTTTTCAAGCCTTTCTTTCTTTCCTATCGTTCAATCTTTCATCTCCTCCTTCTTCCCGACTCCCTCTATTCACTCTCCCTTACCCTCTGTTCTCTCTCCCTCCTGCCCCTCTCATCCCTCTCATCCTTCCCTCCCTCCACTCTATTCCCTGTCCTTTCCCCCTCCCCTCACTTTTCTCTTATCTCCCTTGGTCCTTCCCTCTCTCTTCGCTCCCTCCTTCTGTAGCCTTTCTCCATCTCCCTCTCCCCACACATCTCCCTCTCCCTCTCTCCTTACAGATCCATCCCTTCTTCTTCCCTCCCTCTCATCTACCTCCCTCTACCCCGATCCCCCCCTATCCCCCCGCCCCTCCCTCCCCTTCCTCGCCCCTCCCTCCCCTTCCTCGCCCCTCCCTCCCCTTCCTCGCTCCTCTGCTGCCTCCTTCCTTTCCGGGAGGAGGACTGCCCAACCTCTTTAGGGCTTGTAACACCTGCTAGACGAACATTTACATAACCCATAGCACAAACTCTTGGACGGTTCCGTTACTCAGGGGGAAGGGGGTAGGGGAGAGGGGAGAGGGGGGGAGAGGAGAAGGGCGCGCTCAATGCAGGAGCTGCAGTTGACCTACGCAGAAGTAGGGCCACCGCTGTGTTTTTTTCATTCTTTCTTTCTTTCGTTCTTTTTCTTCTTGCTCTTCCTCCAATTCCTTTTTCAATAAATTCCAAGGTTGGATCCTCTACCTGAGTGACATTTCATCAGAGGAATGTTTTGTCCATGCTCGTCGTAACTGTAATTTAGCTTGCGGATGAATTAATAGAATAGTGAATGATTGCCGCGCAGGTTTGCATTTAGTGTCACCCGAAGGAGGCACTGTGCGCTACTGTCGTCGGCGAGGCACTCCCTGGCCACGGAACGGATTCCGAGAATGCCGGGCGTAGTGTCGTTCACGCGCGCTGAATACCTGATCAGCTAACGCGATGCTGTCCTCTACCTTATGGCGAACGTGCTGCGTTCTGGACACTAAACGGCTCATTATTAGTCGCCCAAGGATCCAGTGGCACGCTATGCCATCTAGAGCGCCCTGGACATCCACAGCTGGTGCATTTTAGAGCAGGTGGCCACAGGTGGTGTGACGGCCCGGCGCGGCCTCACTTCCTCTCCGCCAACACAGGCGCCTCGTACGGACCTGGCAGAAGGGGAAAAATCTCCCATGGACCTTATTCACACTCGTTTCTGGACAGGAACAGCTCATCTCCGTTTGCAACGATCATTGTCATTTGCAACCCTGGATTACTTTGATAAGACATGGCGTCATATCCATCCTCGCCATCGCACACGGAGGATTGGTAACACTGCTTCCAGTGAGACGGGCAACCTGACCCCGACGTGTGTGTTTGTGTGCCTGCGTACGTGCGAATGCATCTAGAGAAACTTTTTTCTGCCAAACATGATAAGTCATTTGCAAGCTGTTGGCAAGAATCTGCAGTTGTAATTATGCACGTTTTAGAATCGTCATTGGGTTTTGCTAAAGAAGAGGAACAGAAAAGGATAAAAATATTAGGTTATTGTCCCCTCCGCCCTCAGGTCAGGAGTTTCCCCCTCATGCCTGGCTTTTGCTTGCTTGCTGTACTTCCGGAATCCAAAAGCGCGAGCCATATGCGTTCTTTCTTGCTTTCTGGTAAAGTACCCGAGTCTAGGACGAACCGAGGCGCTGACACGTTGACACAGG